CGCCCGGCCCGGGGTGGGAGGGCGCACCCCGCCCTCTGCGCCCGCCACCCACTCCGGCTCGCGGAAAACAACAGGCGCGGGACTCCCTCCCGCCTCCCATCCAGGCGGGAGCCCAACTTCCTCTACCTTGGCTGGGGAGGAGGGCTTTATGCAAAGGGCGCGCGGCCGGGCGCGCCGAGCCGACTCCGGCCCGGCCGGGGGTGGAGCGCGAAGGCCGGTCCCTCCCCAAGCCCACTCCGCCCGGGACGGCCGCCTGGAGTCGCGGGGACAGCTGGGCCCGGCCGAGCTCTGCAGCTGCCGCAGGACGGCACCCCCGCTCCGGCTCGCCGGCTGCTTCCCCCTCCCGGGCGCTCCGGCTGCAGCACCCGGAGGAGCGTGGCCAGCCGGAGGGGCGGGCTGCCAAGCTGCAGAATTCAGGGTCCCCTCGGCGTCCCTGCTTAGCTCTTCTGGGGTTCTCGTGTGCTGTCCCGTGCTCAGGGCGGCTGCCAAGGCCGCCATGGCTGTCTTCTACCCTTTGCCCAACGAAGAAGACAAGTCTAGAGCAGGAGAAAGATGATCCCTTAGACCTCCAGCCAAAAGCGCCACGAGACTCCTGTACTCCTGTGAACGAGCTGAGACCACACAGCAAGATCGAGAACCCAGGGGTCAGCAGAACTCGTTCTCAGAGCTCTCTGTCCCCTGCGCCCCCCAACCGCAACCCCATTCAGTCTGATTCCCAGAGAGCCGAAATCCCTCTGTCCTGCCACATCCTCGCCCCATCCTGTCCGAGGAAAAACAAGGTTACCATATCCTCAGGAAAAGCTGATACTTGAAACTGCCCTAGGCGGAATTTCCTTAAAAAAAAAAAAAATGCAATTAGTACAGTAAAATATTACTTGCAGACTCTAAGAGGTGGGTACAGTGGTGTTTGCCTTCTTACAACTTTTCTGCATGTTTGAAAATGTTCATCATAAAATACTGGGGCAAAAACCCAAAAATTGCTATTAAGAAACATCACTGAAAAAAAAAAAGAAAAAAGAAAAAAAAGAAACATCATCTGTTCTGTTGCCCAAAAGGCCCCTTATTGAAATACTTCTTCCATGATGAAATCCTTTTGAAACGAATAAAAACAGTGTGTTTTGCCTGATGAACTGAGCCATAAAATTGCATAAAATGGTTCTTCCCTTTTCCCTCTTTTGCAAAGTGATTTAACTCTTCAGCCGGCTCTCCTTTCCCTTCAGTTTCATGTTTCATCTTTTACCTTGTGATGGAAGGTAAATTCTCTCCTAGCTGGCCTCTTCCTGTTTCCTCAGTGCTTGGCACCATGTAACCACCCACGATGTATTTGTTAAGTAAACAAATGAGAGTTCATTGGTTTTGATACTGTAGCTCCCCAAGCTTTTCTGGCAAACTCCTAACTTCTTACCTTACATTCCCCACCTGAAGCAAACAAGATAGAAGTCAAATCAATAGCTGGCAAGTTTCCCGCTGAGGATCTGGAATTTTCTGTGATCCTGGTGGTACCTCAGGTGGGGAATTGCACAGGACAGCCCATGCTGATATATTTGCTGAGTCGAATGCAAGGTGCTTATGACCAGTTCTCCAACCCCCAAGAAGGATCAACTTCCTTCAGGATGGTTTACAATGCTGACTAGTTTGCATGGCTGGGGCCTTTTAGAAACTTTGTCTCATTAGGCCCTCCCTACAACCCTTGTACCCAAGAAATCATGCAACCCCGCTGAATAAATGAGCTCTAGAAGGGTAAACTCCGAGTCACTGAGCTGGCTGGTGGCAAAGCCAGGACTGGGGTCCATCTCTGTCCCACACAAAGTCCAGCCAAACAGAATAATTTTGTTACCTATAAAAAGGCTACCATGGTCTGGATGCTTTGGGGGGGTCACTGGGCCGGCAGACATGGGCATGCCCCTGAGCAGGGCTCCCAGGACGGCTGTGTGGCCCAGGAAACACCCACTCTCTCTGGTTTGGGTATGGGCTGTGGCCAACCGTGAGACAGGAGCTGTCAGGAAATGCCCCACCCTGATGTCCCGTAGCTGCTCAGGCTGCTCTGGACAGTAGAAAGCACCCTGTCTAGACCAGTGACCAGTGAGGGTTCACCGTGGGGTCCCTAACAAAGTAGAGACCTTTTAGAGCCTTAGTTCTATGATCTGTGCCTCACGGGTTGTTGGAAAGACACAGTGACTTGATTTGCAGGAAGGCACTCAGCAAAGAGTTGTTAAAGCATCAACCCCAATCTATAGTCATATATTGTATTTATTTGACAGAGAGAGAGAGAGAGAGAGAGATCACAAGTAGGCAGAGAGGCAGGCAGAGAGAGGGGGGGAAGCAGGCTCCCTGCTGATAAGAGAGCCTGATGTGGGGCTCGATCCCAGGACCCCACAACATGACCCAAGCCGAAGGCAGAGGCTTAACCCACTGAGCCACCTAGGCGCCCCTATAGTCATATATTAATCCTAAATCCCATAGGCACATATTAAACATGAGGCTCAAACCCCTCTCTGCTCAGGCTGCTACACAGTCCTGTTTTTATTTTGTTTTGTTTTCACCTCCAATGAATTGACAAAACGTCCTCTCGGCTAAGTGCTTTACCTACCTGAACTCATTGACTCCTCAACACAACCCTGAGATCGGGAATTAGAGAGGGCTCAGAGAAGCCAGGTGACACAGCAAGGGAATGGGTGGGTGGGGGTGGGGGAGTTGATCTGACTCCAGGTCCAAGGCACAGTTGTCTTATTCAGTCTTGGAGGGAGGGACAGCATGGGGCTCCTGCCTGACTCCGTAGCCAGCCCTCCTACAGACTGGGTCTCTGAGGCCATCAAGCTACCTATTATTTCTGCCCGGCTACTCCTCTTCTCCTGTCCTCTCCCTAGAGGTAACGCTGAAAGGTTTCTTAGCAACAACCTGCTTCTCTGTTAAACCTAGAGATATATTCTCCTGGGGGCTTCGGAAAGAGCAGGTCAATCAGGAACAGCTGGGGTAGCCGCCTGGCTAGTCAGTAGGCTCTGTACCCCAACACTTCCAGAAGCATAAAGAGGGGCATGACCATCCTGCCTGTACCCCCATGGAGAGGCCTGGGACCCACAGGCTGGCACCTCAAGGGACAGGGACAACAAAACCAACCTGGCTTGTTCTCTGGAAAAGAAAGCTTGCTAAGCCGTCCCCAAACACCACCTCCTCCTACTTCTCCTCTGCCTTCTGCCCAGAAGAAACAAACTAGCATACAGAGGCCATAGCAGGAAAGTTCCTAAAATCAGGCAAAGTTCTAAGAAGAAGCTGGCAGGATGAGATAACAAAGTGGAAAAAATGGAGAGTTGTCAAATGAGTCTACTATTTTGGACCAGAGCCTCTCCTCTCTGGACTGGAGAACAGGAGGGTGAAGTTTGGTATCTCTGAGCGGCAAGAACCACAGAACGTGGAAGGTGGACCCAAACCCAGAAAGCAAAATGGTGCATAAAGACAGATCAAGGATGGGGCGCCTGGGTGGCTCAGAGGGTTAAGCCTCTGCCTTTGGCTTGGGGTCCTGGGATCAAGCCCCGCATTGGGCTCTCTGCTCAGCGGGGAGCCTGCTTCCTCCTCTCTCTCTGCCTGCCTCTCTGCCTGTGATTTCTGCCTGTCAAATAAATAAATAAAATCTTAAAAAAAAAAAAAAAGACAGATCAAGGAAATGACCAGCCAGTTCCCTGAAAAATGGGCAGCTGGGGGGTGGGGCTGAAGGGAGAGGGATGGCTCACCCACCTAAGAGATGAATGCAGCCTAGCAGGTAAGCTGGTTACTGTCTAATCGCAGACTCTCCTGCTGGTGGTGACTGGGGGGCAGGGGCGGGGCTTGACTTGTAGTATTTGCCAATTTGCCTGGTGTAAATACTTCCACGATTACCAATTCCAGGCTGTCACTGGGAAGTGACTTTACTGGATGTAGAGTCAGTTCTCCCAAGCCAGCACCCCCGGAATACACCACTTTCCCCCAGTGGCATAACTCCAAGGTGGGAAACTTTCGACTAGATGGCCCAGGAGCCGAACAGATGACTCAAGTAGAAAACATTCTTTGATCGGTCTCCGGTTCTTTGATCTCACACTGCTGAATGTCATTTGTTGGCCAAAATAAATGTGATTTTCCTATCTTCAAATTGGAACATATGGGTTGATAGCAGCAAGTGTATTTATTTAATTTACGGCAGTAGAAGAAGTTAGTAAACTCGGGATTTCCAGGGAAAACTTGGAGGAAACATATTTCCAAAGTTGACACACTTATTCTTAGATGGCATTTGCTTTTGCCTGATTATAAGCATATCAATCTCACTCTAGAATAATGAAAAACAAAACAACAGGAAATAAAGTGTAACTATAACCCATCTAGAAATTGTCAGTAACGTCACTAGAAACCTCTAGTCATGTCTGCTGAGTTCCAGTGTGTGTATGTGTGTGTTTAACAAAGCTGGGATGACATTTTTATACGAAGTTTTGTCTCCTGCTTGTTTCTTTAGCAGGGATATACATTTCTTTTTTTTGAAGATTTTTTATTTACTTATTTGACAGAGAGAGAGATCACAAGTAGGCAGAGAGGCAGGCAGAGGGGCTGGGGGAAGCAGGCTCCCCGCTGAGCAGAGAGCCCGATGCGGGGATCGATCCTAGGACCCTGAGATCATGACCCGAGCTGAAGGCAGAGGCTTAGCCCACTGAGCCACCCAGGCGCCCCAGGAATATACATTTCTTTAGCACAGATATGCATTGCGATTTTTTTTTTTTTACAAGAAACTAGACTTTAACTGGAAAAGTAATAAAACATGAATGGTAAAAAAAAAAAAAATTTCAAATGCACCTTGCTGACATTGTGCTAAGTGAAATAAGCCGTCACAAAAAGAAATACTGTGTGATTCTACTTATTTGAGGTGCCTCATGCAGTCAAATTTCTAAGAGAGACTTAGAAGTCTGGTTGCCAGGGGCTGGGGGGAGAGGTGTGTGGGGGAGAGGGTATGGGGGTTTCAGTTTTGCAAGATGGAAAAGATGGGTTCTAGAGGCAGATGGTGTGATGGTTGCATAACATTGTGAATGTACTTAATGCCTCTGAACTGTAACTTAAATAGGTAAAGATGGTAAATTTTATGTTATACATATTTTACCACTATTTAAAAAACTTTTAAATGCAGAAGAAAATGGGGAAGCAGGAGAACAATGAGAAAATAATAATACACACATGGGACAGAGAACAGAGACACTTCACTGGTATTTGTGAACTGAGTCATACCGAAAAAATCCAAGCAATTTTACAGTGAAATTCTTTTTTTTTTTTTAAGATTTTATTTATTTATTTGACAACAGAGATCACAAGTAGGCAGAGAGTCAGGAAGAGAGAGGAAGGGAAGCAGGCTCCCTGAGGAGCAGAGAGCCTGACAAGGGGCTTGACCCCAGGACCCTGAGATCATGACCTGAGCCGAAGGCAGAGCCTTAACCCACTGAGCCACCCAGGCGCCCCTTACAGTGAAATTCTATCTGAAAAGTAAGTCTTCTGTTCAACTTCTCCTTGTCTCAGTCCTCTTCCCAGTAACAACCAGTCTCACCACCTTCTGGATATTACAGTTTTTGCTGGTTATCTAATATGCACCTGTTGGAATATTATAAAGCCATCAACAGTTGTATTTTCAAAGTTTATGTAATGATAGAAGATTTGGTTATTATGATTACCCAGATGTGTGAAATTCAATGAGGATTTTTTTTTCCCCAATAGCTTTATATACTATGGATTCATTCATTTATTATTTTTTTTAAGTAGGATCTACATGGGGCTTGATCTCAGATTCTGAGATCAAGACTTGAGCAGAGGGGCGCCTGGGTGGCTCAGTGGGTTAAGGCCTCTGCCTTCGGCTTGGGTCATGGTCCCAGGGTCCTGGGATCAAGCCCCACATCAGGCTCTCTGCTTGGCTGGGAGCCTGTTTCCCTTCCTCTCTCTCTGCCTCTCTCTCTGCCTCTCTCTCTGCCTGTCTCTCTGCCTACTTGTGATCTCTGTCTGTCAAATAAATAAATTAATTAATTAAAAAAAAAAAAGACTTGAGTAGAGATCAAGAGTCAGATGCTTAACCTACTGAGCCACCCAGGCACCCCTGAATTCACTCATTTAAAGTGTATGGTTCAGGGGTGCCTGGGTGGCTCAGTGGTTTGGGCTTCCAACTCTTGATTTCTGTTTAGAGCGTGATCTCAGGGTCATGGGGTCAAGCTCTATGTCAGGTTCCATGCTCAGCAGCTTAGGATTGATCTCTCTCTCCCCCTCTCTTCCTCCCCCCTGCATGCTCTCTCTCCAAAATAAATAAATAAATCTTTAAAAATAACTAAAGTGTACGGTTCAGTGGGTTTTGGTTGTCAGAGTTGTCCAGTCGTCCTCACAATTTCTTACATTTGCCACCCCGAAAAGAAACACCTCACTCAGTTATCGCCCTCAATTCTCCCCACCTCCAGCCCCTGGCAACCACGAATCCACTTCCCATCTCTGTGGATTTGGCTGTCCTGGGCATTTCGTATAAACGGAATCAAATGACGTGTGTGGACTCTGGCTGCTTTCACTCAGCATAATGCTCTCAGTGTTCACCGGTGTTATGGGATCTATCTGCACCCCATTCCTTGTTGTGGCCAAATTAAATTCCATGGTATGGAGATACCATATTTGTACTCATCCATTCATTAGGTAATGGACATTCAACAAACATTCAGGCCACGGAGTGACCCTGAGAACTCAGGGCACCTCTTTGCTTGTTTCTTCTCTGCCTTATTTACCCATCACTCCATGAATGTCTTCTGGAAAGAAATTGTTCTTGCTTCCTTGCTGCTCTATGGAGAGCAGGCTGGCTCTCCATAGAGCGGCATGCCCTTCTTTACTACCTTTGGGCTCTGTGTTTGCCTAAGGCCCCGAATGGACATTCAATCAATCAAGTAGCATTTTATGCCATTATTTTTCCTCCTTCTCAAGATTTTAATCAAACTCCTTGGGGGATCTATTGCCAAGAATTCCCAACTTTCTAGGGTTCCAGCATCTGACCACTGCTTGCTTAGTTCTTTCTCCCGAACCTGCAAAAGTTCCCTCCCACTTCTCAAAGCTGAATGTATTAAGCTTAATTCAATTTTAAGATTTTTGCATTCCCTGACCAGGAGAACTTAGTCTTGCTGAATGGTAGAGACATTGTACTACTGGCATCCCATCTTTTTCCAGTGGATGGCTGACTTCCTGTAAGATTTCCAGAAAGTTCCTTCAGAATATATACTGTTTGCGCTTGCCAGCCCCACTGTCCTTGGAGCGTCTCCTTCCGTCTTCTGAGTAAACTTCTGAAGTAGGTACTCTTTCTTACCTACATTTTACTAATAAGGATGCTGAGGCTTGGCAAGGTGAAATAACTTTCCTAATGAGGGCACAGCCTCAAGCCCATGTTTAGTAAGTAACTCACTTCTGCTCTGGGCCTCACATTTTCTTGGAGAAGTAAAAGCTTGGATTGGGGGGACACTTCAAGGATTAAGAACCTTGTGATGAGGGACATCTGGCTGACTCAGTCAGTGGAGCATGCAACTCTTTTTTTTTTTTTTTTTAAGATTTTATTTATTTATTTATTTGAGAGAGAGAGTGAAGGAGAGAGAGCGAGCACAAGCCGAGACAGGGGGAGAAGGGGTAAAGGAGAAAGGGAGAGGAGGAAGCAGATTTCCTGCTCAACAGAAAACCCGAAGCAAAAGCCCGATCCTGGAACCTGGGACCATGACCTGAGCTGAAGGCAGATGCTTACCCAGCTGAGCCACGCAGGCACCCCAGAGCATGCAACTCTTGATCTCCGGGTTGTGAGTTCAAGTCTCACCTTGGGTGTAGAGATGACTTAAAAATAAAATCTTAAAAAAAAGAAAAAGAAAAAAGGAACCTTGTGATCAGAACTTTGTACCCTCTTCCTAGAAAAATGCACATATTCCCAACATTTTAAAAGCAATTTCAAGGAGTTAGGAAAACTGCAAAACCGAATAAGCGTGAAACTCTGAAGCGGAATTGTTGGCTGGGCCCAGGAAGAAGGGAAAAACCTCACTTACAAGCTTGAAGCACCAGGTGGCGCTCTCGGCCCTGAATGGACTCAGGGTTCCACAGCCAAGGTCTTCCGAGAGATAAGAGCTGCGCCAAGCTGCCTGGAACTCAAAGAATTTCAGAGATTATTGGTTCAAACAATAACCCTCACCATCTAGAGGAGGAGAGGAGGCGCAGAGTTGTTAAGAAGCTTGCTCAAGGTCACAGCTCATGGACAAAGCCAGGACTCACTCACTTATGCAAGTTCACACATTTCTGAAATTATCACATAGTTCCCCTACTCTGAACGGAGCACAGTGGACACAATGCAGTATTTTCTCATGACGATTCAAGCAATGAGCTTTTGTGTGTGTGGACATTGTGAGCATTGGCTCCTGCGCTGCGTTATCTGTAAAAACGAGAGGGGCTTATGGCCCTAGCCTGCCATTTCTTTGTTAATTCCACTTGTGGGTGACACAGGTGTTGGTCCTCTCACGCGTCAGGTTTTCTTATGTTTCTATGTGTCCTTAGGAAAGTTATCTTCCCCTTTCTGAGCCTCAGTTTCCAGGGCTGATGAGTGGATTTCATGAGGCACATGTCAGTCAAGTGCCCAGCAGGTAGTAGAGACCCAATAATTGGTAACTGTTAACATAATCATGTTTCTTGCTACTGTCAATATGCTACTTTAATTTGCTACTTGAACTGCTACTTATAGAGCGTCAGCTGGGTGCTTTCACAGGATAGAGGGCATTGGTGGAAACAGAAGGGAGATGGGAGATTAGACTCCTAGAAAAGTAAGTTGCCCTGAGGTTCACTATCCCTAGATCTCCTCTTTCCTTTCAACACGTATTTCTGATCAGAAGGAATGTGAAATTTCAACTTTCAGCAGATTTGTTCATTCTTTGAAGGATGCACACCTTTCAGGGCTCACACACTTTAATGCTGGAGGCCAGCCCCACCAGGGAACACACACAGCCTCAATCGACCCCGCCTCGAGGAGCTCACCTGTATCCCCAAAGCTCCAGCCACATCAGACAACAGCTGTTCCAACCAAACCATGTTCTCACTACACCTCTCTATCCCTCAACCACGTTCTTGCTCTTTCCATTACAAGGGCTGCCCTTTGTTCCCTCCTTCATCTGGATGATTGCCAGCAATGCTTCAAGCTCAAGTGTCCACCTCTTCCAGGAAGTCTTCCGTGATGTATTCAGGAGGCGCAGGTGCCCTTCCTCTGCATTCCCCTAGCGCCCTGCAGAAATTGGTATCCTAGCCCTTGCCATGCTGAGCTGTAATCATTGCTTTCCATGACTGCCTTTCCCACTCCAGCCTGGAGCCTCCTTGAAGGTACAGAGAGTGTCTCATCTATTTCTGTATCCCCAGGGTCTAGCATGAGGCTTGCTGCATAATAGAGGTTCCCAGTAAATGGCAAGTGAACAAATAGAGTGTTGGCCCCAACCGAAGTGGACATTGAACGGAATCCTCAGGAGAGGATTTATTCTGGAAACTCTTCTCACAAAACTCTAGAATCTGGCAGATGGTTCTTCTTTGCCAGAAACTATCTTCTTCTTCTTCTTTTTTTTTTTTCTTAAGATTTTATTTATTTATTTGACAGAGAGAGATCACAAGTAGGCAGAGAGGCAGGCGGGGGCGGGGAGGGGTGAGGCAGGTGAGGGGGTGGAGGGGTGAAGCAGGCTCCCCGCTGAGCAGAGAGCCCGATGTGGGGCTCTATCCCAGGACCCTGAGATCATGACCTGAGCTGAAATCAAGAGTCTAACGATTAACCAACTGAGCCACCCACGAGCCCTTAAAAAACATTTCTAAATGAACAACAAAAAAGGAATGAGGTCTTGATATATGCTACAATATGGATGAATATTAGAAATGTTAAGTGAAAGAAGCCAGACACGAAAGGCCAATGTTGTTTGATTCCACTTACATGAATATTCCAGAAGAGGCAGATCCATTGAGACAGAAACTAGGTTAGTGGTTGCCAGGGGCTGGGTGGATGAGGGGAGGACTATCCCTGGGCATGGAGTTCGTTTCAAGGGGATAAAAATGATCTGGAATCAGACTATGGTGATGGTTGCACAACTTGTGAATATACAAAGACCCACTGAATTGTACACTTTATGTAATGGGTCTTTCTTTTTTTTTTTTTTTTTTAGATTTTATTTATTTATTTGACAGACAGAGATCGCAAGTAGGCAGAGAGGTGGGCAGAGAGTGGGGAGGAAGCAGGCTTCCTGCTGAGCAGAGAGCCTGATGCGGGGCTCAATCCCAGGACCCTGGGATCATGACCTGAGCCCAAGGCAGAGGCTTAACCCACTGAGCCACCCAGGCGCCCCTGTAAAGGGTTTTTTAAAAAGCAAGTGTCTTGGGATGCCTGAATGGCTCAGTTGGTTAAGCCACTCCTGTCGACTCAGGTCATGATCTCAGGGTCCTGGGCTCAAGTCCCACATCAGGCTCCTTGCTCAGCAGAGAGCGTGCTTCTCTCTCTGCCTCTGCCTGCTTCTGCTCACTCTCTCTCTCTCTCTCTGACAAATACATAAATAAATAAAATCTTTTTTTAAAAAAAGCAAGTGTCTTAAGAATATAGACTGTGTGATCTTATCTATGGTTTTTAAAAAAGCTGTATCTTTATATGTTGTCTATAATGCATATGCATGTAAATGCATAATTGGAAGGATAAATAACAAACGGTTAAATGCGGTTTTCTTCAGAGAGGAATACAGAATTTAAAATTTGTTACAGGAACTTTCACTTCCCACAAAATGGACCCAATTGTTTTAAATTGTATTTTTGCAAATTTCCCTTTTAAAACAATGAACATACTTCTTCTGACTTGACTAGCAAAAAAGAGTTTCAAAGCTAGGAAACTAAACTAAGCCAAATTAGTCTAACGACACTGATTATTTGACATATAAAATGTAGAGAAACCATAATTTTTATAATTCTAATGATCAAGGACCATAAATTATAATGAGCCGTAGTATAATTAATATAATACATTTATTACATTATATTTTATTAATATATCTTCAAGTGATTAAAATATAATGAAGTATAAAATAAAATAATATGCATGCATATTCTGCATGTCCCGGGGGCATGGTGATATTTATTCAGCTCTCATCTTTATCAGGTTCCATGCTAACAGGTAAGGGCCATCACTATATACCATTCCCATTTTACAGTGGAGGGAACTGAGGCTCAGAGAGCTCTTGTAGCTTAGAAGCAGTTAAATCCAAGTGTGTCTGACCCAGAACCCAGGCCTTATCCTGTAGTTGGTTAGAAAAGGCCGGAATGCAGGCTGGGAAAGAGCACATGAGAAAATGAAGTCACTAAGGAGGTAGATGTTGAAGACAAGAGCCGTGGACCCTGTGATCTGCAATGTACTTAGGTGAAGATGCCCCCAAAAGGTGGGCTGCACCCTGAGGCGGAGAAGATAAGCAACGGAAGGGAGGGGAACCTGGGTGGCACAGGCAGTTAAGCCTCTGACTCTTGGTCACAGCTCATGTCCTGATCTCATGGTGGTGAGACTGAGTCCCGAGTCGGGCTCCCTGCTCAGTGTGAAGTCTGTTTGAGATTCTCTCTCCCTCTCCCTCTGGCCCTCCCCTCCTCATGCTCTCTCCCTCTCTCTAAAATAAATAAATAGGGACGCCTGGGTGGCTCAGTGGGTTGGGCTGCTGCCTTTGGCTCAGGTCATGATCCCAGGGTTCTGGGATCGAGTCCCAAGTCGGGCTCCTTGTCCAGCAGGGAGACTGCTTCCCTTCCTCTCTCTCTGCCTGCCTCTCTGCCTACTTGTGATCTCTGTCTGTCAAATAAATGAATAAAATCTTTAAAAAATGTTTTTTTAAGTGTATTAGAAAACATATAACATAAAACTGACCATCTTAACTATTTTAATATGTACACTTCAGTAACGTTAAGCACATTCACCTTGTTGTGCACATCAAAAGATGGTCACCATCACAAATCATTAGAAAAATGCAAATCAAAACCACAATGAGATGAGATAGCACCTTGCCCAATAGGAGCCTATTCCAACCCTCCCCCCTCCCCCAGAAAATAGCAAGTATTACAGATGATGTGGAGAAACTGGAGCCCTCATGCACTTTTGCTGGGACCTGTAAAAGGATGCAATCGCTATGAAAAACAGTATGACCGTTCCTCAAGCAGTTAGAAATCGTAGCACTCCCACACGATCCAGTAATCCTACCTCTGGGTATATATATCCCAAAGAATTGAAAGCAGGGTCTCAAAAAAAGATTTGCACACTCATGTTCATAGAAACATTGTTCACATTGGTCTGCTGACAGATGAGTGGAAAACAAAATGCAGTATATACAGACAGCGGAATATTACTCAGACTCAGAAAGGAAGGAAATTCTATCGTACACTACAACACGGGAAGGTCAGTTAACCAGTTAGCCAATATGCCAGTTATGGGTGCCTGAATGCCTCAGTTGGTTAAGTGTCTGTCTGCCTTTGGCTCAACTCATGATCCCACGCTCCTGGGATAGAGCCCCACATGAGGCTCCCTGCTCAGCGGGGAGCCTGCTTCTCCCTCTGCAGCTCCCCCTGCTTGTGTTCCCTCCCTTGCTATCTCTCTCCTTCATAAATAAATAAAATAGAAAGGAAGGAAGGGAGGGATGGATGGAGGGAGGGAGGGAGAAGGGAAGAAAGAAAGTCAGCCTGGGGGCTTGCCTCTGTTTTTGGATTTCCACACTGACATTAGATCCTAACTTCTATATAAGATATGTGAGATCTGCACTGTTCTCATGTCCCATGACATTCCTTGACTGTGATTGTTTTTTCAAGATTTTATTTATTTATTTGACAGAGAGAGGCACAGTGAGAGAAGGAACCCAGGCAGGGGGAGGGGGAGAGGGAGAAGCAGGCTCCCTGCTGAGCAGGGAGCCCATTCTGGGCTCCATCCCAGGACCCTGAGATCATGACCTGAGCCGAAGGCAGATGCTTAACGACTGAGCCACCCAGGCACCCTCCTTGACTGTGATTTTATATCTCAACTCACTATAGAGGCAAATAAGATGCTGTATTTCCCTGAAGTATATTCCATCTGTCGAGCTCAACCCCTCCCACCGGAAAAGTGCAAATAAACCCCCAAGTCATCAATATCCTTGAGTTCAAAGCAACTAGTAACCTTGACTGGGTTCATCTGATGGCAAAACAGATGAAGATGAATATACGTATTTCTGTAAATGTGACATTTGCCCTTCTGGGACTGTGACTCAACCAAAGAGAAATTGTTCCCTATTCTCTCTGTTCCCTTTCCTTGGACTCCTGAAAAGCGAAAACTAATTCAAATGAGTCGGGGAAGTAAAAATAAACTCTAGGCCCATGTGTTTTATTTTATTTTTTTATTTTTATTTTTAAAAAAGATTTATTTATTTATTTGACAGAGAAAGAGAGATCACAAGCAGGCAGAGAGGCAGGCAGAGAGGGCGGGGAAAGCAGGCTCCCCACTGAGCAGAGAGCCCGATGTGGGGCTGGATCCCAGGATCCTGAGATCATGACCTGAGCTGAAGGCAGAGGCTTAACCCACTGAGCCACCCAGGCGCCCCTAGGCCCGTGTGTTTTAATAAATATAGTTTCTTTTTTTTTTTAAGATTTTATTTTTTTATTTGACAGAGACACAGCGAGAAAGCGAACACAAGCAGAGGGAGAGGGAGAAGGAGGCTTCCCCAAGCAGGGAGCCCGATGCGGGGCTCGATCCCAGGACCCTGGGATCATGACCTGAGCCAAAGGCAGAAGCTTAACAACTGAACCACGCAGGCGCCCCATAAATGTAGTTTCTTAATTTCTGGAGCACGCGGAACATTCTAGTAAGCTCATAAAATTTTGAGAAGTAGAGAAGGAGTCTAATAAGGTGACTGATAGCATATGTAATTAGCATGAGATGTGGACTCACTCGAGGCACTTGCCGAAGCAGAGCTTACACATTGGTCTGTCCCGAGCTGGTTCATCTCCATGAGAGTGTACGTTACTCATTTGCTCCCTGCAGAGGACATCTCTTGATTTTCTTGTCCAATTTCTCTTCTTTCGGCTATCATTTGGAGAGCTGCCCCCAACCCTAAGAAAACATGATTGGGATGGAGCTACGGGGGTGGGTGAGGACCCAGGCGTGGCAGAGGTGAGCTGATGAGGGCTGGGCACACAACCCAGTCCAGATTCGCGAGGAGTCGTCCCTGGATGCTGCTGGAGGTGTCGAGCAATGGGAGCCTTCTTCCTGCTGGGGTTGCCAGCCTGAACGAATGTGAGCCTGAAGCCATCGGTGGTTACCGGTTATCTATCGCTGCGCCACAAATGACCACAAACTTTGTGGTGTAAAACAATGCACATTTCTTATCTTACAGTTTCTGTGGATCAGGGAGGGGCTGGGCATGCCCGAGCTGAGGGCTGTGAGTCAGGGTCTCTCAAGCTGTCAGATGTGGCTGGGTCTCATTGTCAGGAGCCCGGTCAGGCTGAGAGAGAGTTCTGCAAAGAAAGTGTCCAACCTCTCATCTAAGGGTGATGGTAGAAACAAGAGGCAGAACCCAGCAAATGCACCTTGTCTCCCCATTGCATTTTCCACCATGGAATGGCACAGAGCGATCAGCACAGATGTGGGGGGTCATCTTGCTGTTGAAAGAACCCCGAAGACAAGGCTCTAGTGGTTTTTTGGATCCTGGAGTTTGGCGGGGGTGGGGGGGATGCAGAGGATGAGGGAGCAGGAGTGGAGTGGAAAATCACTGGTACTGAGGCAGAGTGGGGGAAGTGTCTTCAAGGTCCTGTCCTCCCTCCAGAAGGCCTCCTTGGTTCAGGCAGCTGGAGAAGGATCTCTGCCCGAGACCTCAGATAAAGAGACCTGGGAGTAAAGGTGCCAGGGCTCAGAATACAAATGCATACAAGAGCATGAGTGGTCAGAGGGATATGAGTCCTTGATGAGTCTCCCTTCAGAGCCTGCCGTGTGCCTGCTGTGCCCCAGGGCTGGTGTGGGGAGGACAGCTTTCTCCTCTGAGCTCTTCCAGGTCCAAAGCCGTTGTCACTCATTGCCTCTGGCAGGCCTGGTATGTCCCACATAGGTTTTGAACCAGGAACTGGACACCCCATTCATCAGAAGCCTTGACTGGGGAATCAGCGGCTTCCAACCTCTCTTGGTGGACATTGGTAGGATTCAGCTCCTTGTGGGGCTATTGGATGGAGGACCTCAGAGTCTCACTGGCCATTGGCCAGAGGCTGCCTTCAGTTCCTCGCCATATGCCTCTCCACGTGGTAGCTTATTGCATGAAAGGCTGCAAGCTGAGAAGGTTGTAGAGTGTGTGCGCTAGCAAGCCGTAAGCCACGATCTCTTGTAACCTAATCACAGAAGTGACATTCCATGGGGCTTGCTGTATGCTATTCGCTAAAGTTGGGTTACTCAAGGGGAAGGGATTATACAAGGCCATGAATACCAGGAGGTGGGATCACCAGGGCTTTCTTAGAAGCTGCTGCCACAGTGGCTTTCTGGCAACATAAAGGGAAGGTCTACTTGAGATTGAAACCAGCTCAGAGGCAGACAAAGCTGAGAAGCAGGAGGGAGACAGATACTTACCGCACCACTTATGCCCCTGGATCCAGACCCTTCTGAAGCCAACCACCCACGGGCATCCCAGGACCCAAACTAACTACTTTTTTTTTTTTTTTAAAGATTCTGGTTTACATTGGGTTTTAGTCACTTGAAATCAAAAGAATCCTGATTAACATAAAAATAAATTGGCCAGATTCTTGGGGTTTCATGGTACAGAGAGGTGCCATGGTCATGTCAAGGACAAGGTGTTTGGTGAAAGGATGCTGGTGGCGTGGCCCCCACCTGGAGCCCTGATGTGGAGGAGGTCAGTTCTGGTGGTCAGTGGTCTCTGTCTCTCCAGGTGCCTGTTTCTCTCTGTGACCCTGTTGTTTCTGCACTGTTGATGGGCCATTTCTCCTCTATTCTATATAAATGTTGACGCAAACTCCCCAGTGCCTCTGATTTTCAGCCTGGGCAAGACTCTCAGTACCCCCTATGCACTCTCTCTGCATCTTCTCCTTTTTGTATCAGTTCTTGACATGTACACCTGCCTGTCTCTCCTGAGAGATCCAGCGTCTAGAATCCAGACAGATTCTAGACACTGGATCTGATTGGTCCCCGCCATCCGGGGGAGCACTTGCTGGGTCCGTTTCATAGGTGGTTTGACAAGTCTGTGGATTGGTTGTCAGATGGATTGGGGTGGATTCCTGAGGGCTTTCTAGGGAGCTGTGGGCTTGGCAGGCACAAAGACACAAAGCAAGCCATTTTTCATGAAGGTGGTAAAGATTCCAGCTTGAATAATCACTAATTTGATAGCACTAAAGTCTGAATGAATGAGGCTTCACGAGTTTCAGCATGCTTTGGGAGAACTGATTTCTATTTCTAGCTCCCTTTAAAAAAATTTTATTTATTTATTTATTTATTTGACAGACAGAGATCACAAGTAGGCAGAGAGGCAGGCGGTGGGGCGGGGAGCAGGCTCCCTGCTGAGCAGAGAGCCCGATGCGGGACTCAATCCCAGGACCCTGAGATCATGACCTGAGCCAAAGGCAGAGGCTTTAACCCGCTGAGCCACCCAGGCACCCCTTCTATCTCTTTTTTGATGAGGAGATCATCCGCATTAAC